CAGTATATTTTAGTAACAATAATTTAAATAACATTTTCTAATTTAAACATTTTTTAAAAAATAAATAATTATTTATTTTTATATAACAAAATACGGTAAGCTATCGACAACAACAACAATGCATTTACACTAATATACAGACAAATCAATAGACAACTACCGGGGCCGCGGACAACATTGTCGCACTTACTATAATCACATTATATAATACATTGGGGGACATACATACCATATGAAGTCCGTACAACACTTTCGACATATCGATGATCCGTTCGACCAGTTGGTCGGCAGCCATATGCGGATCTTTTGCGTGATGATGGTGTGACGACTTATCGGCTACCAGTGCCAGCTCTTTACCACTTAGGGCAGTGCCTGTTAGGGCAGCAGTAGTCGACGATTTTTTAGATCCCAGTTTCGAGTACAGATAGTGTTGCCACGACATATCATCTGATGGATCAATTTTATCGGGTAATGTCAACTGTGTCTTAACGTAGTCGAAAATGTCGGCATCGGGTCGACGTTTCAGAAATTTTTCTTTCGCGTGTTGGACCAGTTCCTGCTCCCGACCCCCGAACAGGTTCAGTCCGACCGGCAGTAGTCGCTTAAGACAGGCCACCATCAGCGAGGCGGCCAACTCCTTGTCCTTATCGCGCTTACCCTCCCGTTTCTTTTTAACCTATTTTGTCATTCATCATTACCCGCCCACCCCCCGGGACACGGGTTGACAATAACAATGAAAAATTAATTAATTAATGTATAAAAATGTGTAATTGAATGATTGAGTGAAAATATAAGATAATTTTAAAATAATATATTAATAATAATTTTTGATTAATTTTGTAAAAAATATAAAATAAATAATTGTTAGAATAATTTAAATATAATGTAACGCAATGTATAAAAAATAAATCAATTATCTCTCTCTCTCTCTCTCTCTCTCTCTCTCTCTCTCTCTCTCTCTATATATATATATTTGTAATATTAATCTATTACTATAATTATATATATAAATAAATATAAAATAATTATTATGCATAAAATGCTATCGTCAAAATACATAATAATAATAAACTAATAATATAATACTATAACTTATTTAATAATTTATATACAGTATTTAGATAAAAAACATAAATAACTTAAATTGTGTTTAATTTAATAAAATATCTGAATTATATACTGTATATATAATGTATATTATTAATTATTACTATTAAAAAAAATTTATAGCAAAATTTTGATTGTATAACACAATTGTTATTTATTAATTAATTTAATTAAAAAAAAATATATATATATATAAGGGATCAGTTAGTTTTTTGTAGGTTAATTTTATCAATGATATATTGAACACTGAAACAGGTAGTTTATCATCATATCCCATATACAGTATGGTATATATATAATTATAAAATGTCTAATTATTATACTATCAAATACACTATATATATACACTAAACTATTGACTATTTTCATTGTTACAGTTTGTAATATATAACTGTTAATATTTTTATTTAAAATACAGTAAATTTAAAGGAAAAACAGATATATATATATATATTGATATTATATAGTTATTATTATTACAGGTATTATTATTATTATTGATTAATTAATTAGTTAAATTATGACGTTTAACAATTATAATATTTATTAAAATTAAAATTTTTAAAAATAATAATAATTTAGCTTCTGGTGCTGTGGACTAGTCTACTATCTAATAATTATTATTTAAAAAACTTATAAATTGCTATTTAAATATTTATATACAGTTTTTTAATGAATAATAATAATAATAATTTAAAACTCAGTATATATTACTATACGAAACATAAATATATGTTAATAAATACGACTAAACTCTATAATTATTAATAATTACATTAATTATATGTCAATATTATTATTATTATTATTATTATTATTATACAAACAGTAGTAGTAGTAGTAGTAGTAGTAATAGTAGACAAACCATACCTTTTTAGCTGACGATGACTTAGCACTGTCCGATTTGGAGGCCGTTATCCTACCTCCCCGTCCCGATGACGGCATAATCAGTGCCATATTGTCGATCTCGTTCTGCGATATAAAATTTTGCTCTTCCCGTCGGAAAAACTGCGATTTTGACCAAATATTGAAAATAGTGGCCACATTGTGGTATAGTTTTTCGGCTTCCGGTATATTGTTTTTAAGCCAATGACCTAAAAAATAATTATAATAATAATAATATTATTATTATTATTATTAATAACTAATTAAATATAATTATTTTAGTAAAAAAATCTTTTTAAATAAATAAAATTATTATTATTATATATAGTGTAATACTGTAGTATAATTTAGTAAAAAAATGTTCTAGGTAGAAATTGCTAATAATAAAAATTCCTATTAATTTTCAAATTAAATTATTTACAATAATAATGTGGACTAATTTTATTATATATTTAAGTTATATATAAGTATTATTAGTATATATATTATTAAATATTTACAGTTTTTTATTATTAATAATAATGTAGTTTTTTTTGAAAAATATTATCAATGTATTAATTTACATAATATAAAATAAATATTAAAAATCAAATATTTCCAATATAATCTGTTAATTGTATTTATATTATACAATGTAATTTTTATCAATAACAAACAAAAATTATTTTTAACCCATTACTTTAATGTGTTTTAATAAATAAAATTTAGTAAAAATTTTCTAATTAGAAAAATCAAAATTTTTAATAATTTTTATGTGAGCCGTTTAAATGATCAAAATTATATCATTTAACTATTAAATATAAACTATATTTAATTGAAATTAAATGTTACAGTTTGTTGAAAAATTTGTGTTTATTATTGTGTATAGTGTATATGTGTGACACAATAATTTTTTTTAAAGTCAATAAATAATATTATATTTACAAATGGAAAATAAATATGTTTTAAAATAATTTCTATTGTTTTACTAAACTATAAATTGATTTTCTATAAATTTTTGTTAAAGTTATCGTTTAATTAATTATTTTTTGTTATTTTTTTCTCTGTATTCATTCAACATATTAAAAAAACAGTTTTATCATTGCTATGTAATATGTGTACTGTACTATAATTTTCCCCTCAGTTTTACCCCCATTTACCACCTCCTCTATTGGTTGATTCAATACTTCAATGTATGTATGTGTATGTGTATGTGTATGTGTATGTGTATGTGTATGTGTATGTGTATGTGTATGTGTATGTGTATGTGTATGTGTATGTGTATGTGTATGTGTATGTGTATGTGTATGTGTATGTGTATGTGTATGTGTATGTGTATGTGTATGTGTATGTGTATGTGTATGTGTATGTGTATGTGTATGTGTATGTGTATGTGTATGTGTATGTGTATGTGTATGTGTATGTGTATGTGTATGTGTATGTGTATGTGTATGTGTATGTGTATGTGTATGTGTATGTGTATGTGTATGTGTATGTGTATGTGTATGTGTATGTGTATGTGTATGTGTATGTGTATGTGTATGTGTATGTGTATGTGTATGTGTATATAAACACTGTGTAGACATCAAACAATTATTAATATTAAAATTTTTTAAAAAAGAGCTTAAATGCTATACCTTTCTGAATGTCCACATATTTGATAAGCAACGGATAGAAAGCATAGACATCCCGAGCTAACAGTGCAAACTCTTCCTGCAATTGTTGTTCAACAGCACTGGTATCATCGGTTGCCGATTTCAAATAGCCGCGCATCATATCCTCTTTATGATAGACTTGTTCGGCACGACTACATATTTTCTGTGCCAATGGCATCACCGGATCAATTAGCAGATCTTCCGATGAATTGATAATGATTTGTCCCGCATGGCCGGCAATAGTGACCATCCATGGATGTCCTTCGACACCGACATGATTCTTGACCAACACGAGTACCGATTTTAATAGATTATTCAAATGTTCACTGGTCACCATGGTCACATGATTGTCGCCGGTAATGTTGACGTTATCGGGACCTGTAGTTTATGGGGGGGTGAGAGGGGAGTGGATATACATATCAATCTGTATGACTTTTTCGACAAACCATACATACCCTGTGACCACCAAAACGGCAAATACGAGCACAACATCGGCATAATAACATCGATAGTATGGGGTTCACTAGTATATCGGGTCATCGATTGGACATATTTGTCGATTAGGGCCATCAGGTCGTCCAATGTAGGCATGGATGAGCCCAATTCGGTCAGTACGGTCTGGGCTTCCAGCGAATGTTCCTCACTTTTACCGTGAATACAGTGTTTGTTATGTTTGTTCAGATGTGGCTCCAGAAATGCTACGGGGAAAGTGCTGGCAAATGCACCCAAACAGTTGCCCAGTGCTGCCCGATGCCGGTCAAGCTCCGACCGGATAAACTTACGGCTCAGTGTCAAATCCGCATGTTTAGTACCTAACGTATACAACGAGTTCAACAGTTTATAACAGGCCACTTGTATATCATCGAGTAGCAGATCCGATCCGAAATCATTGACTGCCAAATGATCGAACAGTGATGTAAGCACCGGTAGGACGACCAGTTGGATGTAGTTGAGCGACGACGATGTTTTCATTGTAGTACCTCTGATATGGGAGAACCGGGCGTTTTGTAGGTTAAACACACACATTGCCAGATCGTCGGCCATATGATTGAAAAATGTTAACATCGATGTCTTGATAAAATCGGGCGAATATTTGACAATAGTTTTGGCATCGGTTGCCTGGATGAGCACCTGTAGACAGCGTACGGATATTTTGGCGTCGACACCGATTACCGACAGTTTTGATCGTAAAAATGCGGCCAATTTACAGAACAGATTGGCCACCATTTCCTTTTCGCGTACGGTTGCAATGCCCGACGCGGCTACCGATCCTTTAAATAAATAAATCAATCAATTAAATTCAAGGGAACAGTTATGCTAATCGGACACTCCCTTTACCAGTAGTGGTAGCCGTCGGTGAGGTCAAGAAAAAAGTTCGCTGAGCACCGAAATACTTTTCCATCAGCGGTAACACCACTTTCGAGAAAAACTTGACATCACGGGAGCTCTGTTTGAATGACATACGACGGGTGTGATTGGCCGACGGTTTCAGTAGCCGTAAGCTCATGGATGTAATGTCCAGATATTGCAGTAGTTTTTCCAACAGCGACGATGCAAAACGTGTTTCGGCCGGATGTCCCGGATGGCCAAGACTGCCGCCGGCACCGGCATCCGGACTCAGTACTGAGCCTAACCTATTTCTTGGGTCACCGGGAGGAATGGTGTCAGAACTGGTAGGTTATGTTTTGTTTGTTTGTTTGTTTATATAATTATTAATTGTTAAGACATTTATATATATATATTTATACAGTAAATGGTAAGACATATGAAATTTTAGAGTTAAATATAACATATAATTAGATAATTATATTTTTAAAAAACACAAAAATATATTTAAATTGTTATGTTTTTTTTAATTGAACAGTTAGTGGACAGCAGGACAGGTATGTATTTTTTTAGGAACGGTATATAAAAATAGTAGGCATACACACAAACACACACATAGAAAGAGAGTACAAATAGGAGAGAAAAAAGACACAAAACAATTAGTACATCACAAGTGTATGGATTTTTTTTAATGACAACTAACAATACAATATAAAAAGTATTACATTAGCACCGGTAGGTTTTTTTTCTATACATACCGAAACACTTTGTAACCTTCAAACTGTAAAAATTTCAGTAACTCTTGAGATCGTTCTCTGTTTTTCTTCTTTTCCCGATCGGTAAGCAAATCGTAGGGTACCTGAAAAAGGGACAGTCGTTACAAACAATTACAACTAAAAATCAATCAATATCAGCACAGGTATATGCCATTACCATTTGCGGATGAATACAACCGCCCAGTGCTTCGCTTTCCTCTTTAACACCTTTAGCCCACATGTCGTGTGCATTCTCGGCCAGACGTTCGGCCAGTGTCTGCATATCGCGACTCAGCGTCAGATTAGCCATATCTACCGGCTGTGGATTATAGTCGGCAATCGTAACCGACTGATTCATTTCGGTTCTCGATGTCTGACGGCCCAGAGTCGACTGTCCTGATTCGGACTGTTCGACCTAAATATATAAACGTGAAAATATCAATAGATTATATAATACCGTAGTAGGGCTGTCCTCAAAATATTGTCCCCAAAACACACCAACAACAACAACAACAACAACAGTACCTTATAGGACATGGCTAACAGTGCTTTGATGGCATCCCTGATCGGTTCCTTATACCGTTCCTTTTCGCGATCGGTCAACAGCTGATACGGTTTCAATCGCGGATGACTTTTCCTATATGACCACTGATCCCCAAATTGCCAGCCGTTTTCAAACTTGCGCGATGCCCAGGCATCGTGATAATGCTCGGAAAATTTTTGTACCAAATTGACCATTTCGGGGGATAGGGTTATCGATTGGGTGTTTACCGGGTTCGGTACGTACGGGCCATCGCTTCCACCTAATACAGAGATAGATTGATTACCGGTAATAATGTAGTAGTATATCGGGTAGTGTTTTAGTATAGTATAGTAGTAGTGATGATGGTATGTATAGTAGTGATAATGGTATGTACTGGTGATGGTATGACCACAAAAAAATAAAATACCGTTTTTGTTGATAATGTCGTCCAGATTTGTATTGGTCAGCGAGTAGTCGGGCGGAAGGGCAGCCGCAATAGAGGTCAAACAGGGCAACGATTGTGTGAACAGATCGGGGTCGTACTCCATTTTGGCCAACGAGTCGAATATATTGCTAAACAATACCATTGTCAGCCGGCGTTCCTCCTCGGATGCCGATCCATAGGATCCCTGGCCACCGGTCGAGTAGTATTTCGTACAGCGTTCGTAGTGAAGTGTCAGTAGTCTCAGTGCAACAGTAGTGTAGTCGGTCAGCACCGATACATCGTTGCATAGCTTACGTAGCAATCGGAGTAGCATTGATGGCAACATTTCACGAGTCAGGCTGACCTACAGGTGCCGGATGTCAACGACACAAAAAAATAATTTAATTTATGGAAACAACAGTTAGGACATCAACCGGACTACTGACCAGAAAATCGGATACACATTCGCGCTGTCCTTTGGTCAGTGTCTTGACTTTGGCCAATCGGTAGACAGTATGTAGTGTGGCGTCCAATAGGTTAGCCCAGGTATCGGCAGTGGTAAAAAATGCCGAGTGTTTGATCAGTAACGGTAGTACAGCGTTGCCGAGATAGCGATTCAATGCCAGCGACATTTCCGATTCGCCGCCGTCGACGGTCTCCAACATAGTGGCCGCCCGCAGGTCGGGTAGAAAACCTTCCTCCAGGAGCCGGAAAAAAGTTTCCTCCGTTTCGATACCGTAGACTCGTTCGAGAAACAGTACTATCGATTGTTTATGACTGGGCAGTAGGCCGGTAGGCATATCGGACTTTTCTAATTAATAAAAAACAATAGTTTCAAAGCACTGTTAGATTCAAATTCAAAACCTTTCTCCCCTTCCCTACCTTTTGCGCCTAACTGTAGCGAAAACCTGAGCGACAGTACGCCCTCCAAGTCCTCCAACGGTACCAGCGATCGGAGTATAGCCCGGGCTCGCATACACTCGTTCTTGCCCTGAGCTATGGTACTGGCTTCGGGTGCGCACCGACCCAACAGGTCGACCAGTGCACAGTAAAAGCTCAGAATGGCTGCACCCATATCGATATAATCTTCGTCCTCCTCCTGGGCTTCGCCCCGGGCTATCTTTGTCTCCCTGTCGCGGGTAATCTTATCGGACATCTGAATGGCATCTTTGATAGCAGCCAACAGTCCCGGTCCTTCACCTCTCAATGCCGGACCCAAACACTCGGGCCTCCGGATCAACAACCGTATGACCAGATTAGAGTTCTCCTCAACCGATTCGCCGTTAACCCAAACACAGAATCGTAGAAAATCGAGATACCGTTCCCCCTCAACGGGATCCCAACCGACATCCGGGTAGCCTTTATCAATTAGTTCCTGATTTGATTGCAGTCCACAACGGGACAGGTAGACGGCAATTTTTTCCAAATAATGTTCCCGCAGGGCCAGTGCTAGTTCCGGGTTTTCCATTAGGGACGAGTAGGCAACATCCAGGGGTGTAGTTCCGCGCAACGATGGCCGGGACAGTAGGATGTTTGAGTGCTCCAATAGAAAGTTCAAATGATCAAACATGGCTTTCTGGTTGATACGACCGGAACGGCAGAAAAAACATAGGAACCGACAACAGGCGACCACCATTTCCGATGTATCCGATAGTTTTTCTGAGTCACCCCCGCCGCCGCTGCCTCCGCCTCCGGGATTAGATTTTTGTTTGCCCAGTGTGTTCATCATGACGTCCATTATGTTTTCGTGTACCCTTAGTGTACGCATTAGGTCCGGGTGCTGAAAAAAGACCCGATTGTTGACCATTGTCCACAGCGAATGTCGCATTACCGCTTCCTCGTCCGGTCCCATTTGCACTGGTAGTTAGATAGATAGGGAGGTTGTGTTAGAAAAAGAAATTAGGGTTTACCGGTATTTACGATATAAACAGTAGTTTAATATAAATATAAGTATATATATATATAAAATTTATAGGACAGTCCATACCGGGTAACAGTGCCCGAACTTTATTCAAATGATGAACAAACTGTTCGACATCGCATTTGGACAGATGGCCGATAACATAGGTTTTCTGTAGGGCGTCCATCAGTTTGCCGACACCATTGTAGCAGCGAAGTAGCAAATGAAACATTTGCCTAATCAGCTCCCGGTTCTCGATTTCCGATTCCTGGGCCCACTTGATGACTGTCGACACTATTTTCTTGGTCAGCACGTCCTCCGGCGGCGGACGTTCCTCTTCGGGTGCCGTCTCCTCCTATAAAATATTAATATATATATATTTTTGGTGGGAAATGCCTACTACTAAGTCAACTGTCCTATCGGATGATACAAACTTTATAGCCGATAGACTTAACACTATTGACAATAGAAACCAATCGATTTGTCCACGTTTTTCGGACACCAATATCGTCGCCACTAGCCGATTCGGAACTTTGGTCACCACCACCGCTAGCGCCTTCCTCTTCGGCCACTACTTTGATTCGGGTCATAAGTTTTCCGTGCAATGTAACCAACTTTTCCCTAATATCTTCGCCGCACGGACTCTGATCGCCAGCCGATGACTCATCGAAATCTTTGAAATTCAATATGGATTTCATTTGTTCTAACGGTGCGCACCTAAACTCTCGGGTCTTTTTGGCCGCCACTGCCGCCGGCATGTCTTCCTGTTTGATTTCAATATAACGGCGCAGTTGGTCGGCCTGTAGTTCCCCGACGTAGCCGTTGCTGAACGCTATAATCGATTCGACACGATGTCGGAGCTGCAGATCCAGTAAATGGTGTAACAGATGGCACATCTCTAGTTTGGCACCTGTAGGTCAAATCATCATCAAAAAAAAATCAATAGTTAGTATTGCAGATTGCAAGCACCGGGATCTTCACACATACCTTCTTCGAGACTCATCTGCATCAGACCCTTCATTCGTGGTTCGGCCTCAAAATCGTAGTCCCTGTCAAACGTTTCCGGATCTATCAGAATGAGTATCCATTCCAAGTCCTGATCGTTGATACAGCCGATCAACAGTAGTTTGTCGGCCAGTTTGATCAGCGGTACAAACAAATGTTCAGTACTGCCGCCAATCGGGTCCCGATTCGGTCGATTGCCTTTTTTCACGGCATCATCCAGCGCTTCCATAACAAACTGTTTGAGTATGTCGACTGGAAAATACGGTGACGACAGATCTTTGATTGAATCAAATTTGTCGGTCCGCTCGGACATTGTCATCACTGGTCGAATGGACACACACTCCAGCGTTTGTATCGAGTGTACCATCGATTCGTTTTGGTATAACTTTTTCAGACTGTCCCCTAAGGGTACAATGAACTCGTTTTGTGTCAACGATCGGGCATTGGCGTGAACCTCCAGGTGCAAGGCTATAAGGAGATCGGCAAATCCCCGACGTAACGGCCCAGACATATAGGGCGACTGTATGGCATACATGAGCTGTTTTTCGTCGACATGTGCGCATATAATATGGGCGGCCCTATTGTTACCTATTTTGTTATTTAAAACAACAAACATATAATACATGATATAGAGGGGGAACTGTAGACAAATCAAACAAATCGGCACCCATACCTTGAAAACACAGTGCACCGTACAGTGCCAGTGATTGGGCGTGAAACTGTAGCAATCGGTCACACTCGATCAGTTCCAGTATGTCGACTGATCGGTCCTCTTCGGGTATATGGACGACCAGCTGCGATACTGGATCCTCGCACAGCATACTCCAGCCCCGTATATCCGACAGCTTCAGGGCATGCGGTTTGAGCGACTGGTTCGGCACTCGTGACCACTGATAGGCTTGCAATGACTGAACTTTCAGTCGGGGCGGACACTGCGGTACCAGATGTTTGTCGCTGGTCTTCAATATGGCCGCCGACAATGGTAGTGTAGTTGGTGTGCGGCCTAATTCAAATTGTAGACACTCTTTGCTGGTGGCCTCGAATATGATGGCCGGAAACAGTTTGATGCCCGGTTCGATGCGGAACTTGTGTTTGGTTGGTTTGCCATCGGCCGTAAAACTAACCATACCGGTGCTGGTGTCAACGTGACAGCCAACAAACATACCTACACCACACAAAAAAAACAACGGGAAATATTAAATACCGGAGCTGATTGGCCATTAAATTGGGTGTCAATAATAATACCCTGATTAGATCGCGAGCCTCCCTGTGCCGCCTCGTCTTCATGAACTTCGCCGTACAGTTTGCCAGCGTTGAGTACGTAAGCGTATTGGCGGTCAAAAAAATCCGATAGTCGGCCGTCCTCTGCCCAGACCTGGAGTGTAGTTTTGCGTACGTTTTGCGCGTCAAACGACTTGTCGTAGTGCTTGAAGTTGGCGGTAACCCAACCGCAGTACACGTGACTCGGGTCCTGACCCGGGAATATGCGGACACCGTAGAAGTATTCGTCCACCAGATCGAGAACAGTCGGATCGAGCAGATCGTTGGTTTCGTCCGGTAACAAATCGGTGTCAATCTTGGCCCGTGAGCCACGCCGTGAGCCGAGCTGACCAGCGGCCGGCAATGTTGGCCGCCGATTGTTGCTGCTCGGTGTCCGGTCTCGCTGTAGTCCTCCCGGCACATGAAGTTTGTTGGACATGGGAAACGGTGGCGACAGACCACGAAACGATGCATTACTGATGGCAATGGCCGGCGGTGTACTAACCAGACCGTCCAGTCCGATTTCTTCGGCTCGGCCGCCGATTCGTTGTTTCTTGAGTTTGTCGGCTGCGGCCGCTCCGGGATCTTTGCGAGCGAAAAATTTGAACGGCGATCGCGATCGTAGTTTACGCTCCATTTCGGTCGGATCCTGACCACCAACTGGTCCGGCAGCAGCGGCGCCGCGTAGTTTGTTGATAGCCTCGACACTGGTCGACCGTTTGTGGTGGTGGTGTTGGCCACCTGGGCCGCCGCCGGCCATCATCTGTTGCGCCTCAACCATTGTCGGCACTTTCAGTTCATTTTCAAAACTTTTCGTTTTTGTCAACGACGACGGCTGATGCTTGCGCTGACCCCACGGCGACTCTCCGCTGGCCATCGGCTGCGGTGTCGGTGTTTCGCCGCCCTCTTCGTCACTGTAGGTTCGTTGCAGTTCTTTTACATCGGATATGGAGAAGCCTTATATAAGTTATAAAAAAAATATTATTATTAGAGCACTAGTATTATATACTGTATGTCTTTGATATGTCTGTCCTACAAAAAAAATCTAACGGTGCTATTTGCATAATACTCTATAATTAATATGAATATATTGTTTCTCTCAAAAGAGGACAGTTAGCTAAATATTTATATAAAAACAGTTAGACTAAAAAAACAATTAGAATTTTTAGGGGGGGGGGATACCCACCACACCAACAAACAAACTCAGGTACTACGGTATACCTGTCCAACCAAACCAAACCACTTAACACACCACATACCTGACTGAAGCATATGCTGTTCAAGTTTAGCCGAATGTACGTAACCGCCGGCGGCCGACCTATCGGCCCGATTCCTCCTAATACGACGTTTGACTTCCTCCCAACGGGTACTCTTCTCCAGTTCGTCGATAAAATTTTCGTGACATATGACCGGCAGCGACAGCCGTAGGAATTCCCAACTGGCCTTCTCCTGGGTTTCAAACAGTTTGTGTGCAATTTTCAGGGCCGGCGACGAATCACTGCCGGCCGGTATACGGGTAACCTCCAGATGCGAGTCGTCCCGGACGTCGACAAAAACGGGTTCATCTTTGTTGTACCAGAATGTCATATTGCGGTTCATATTTACGCAAAACGGTTGATACCCTTCCTATATATATAATGATATATAAAAGAGGACAGTCGTGTAAAATAATGTTTAATAATAGAAGAGTTGACAACAACAACACGGCACCTGTAGACCGCATAGAGTGAAAAATCTCAGTGCATTGATGTCCTGGCCGAATATCAGCCGTACCCGTTGGCCAATACCCAGTGTAAAGGCCGGTACATAACCGGAATCGCTGGCCGGCAGTTCGGCAAAAGCGCATTCACCGCCAACCGTATCCAATACTAGTTCACCGTTCAAACTGAAACTAATAGTCCTGTCCTCGAGATCCAACATACAGCCAATGATGTCACCGGTTTGCGGCTAAACAAAAAAAATGGACCAAAATGTTAGACCCGGACCCTATCAGGTAATCCCAGTGCTGCTGCACACACAGGTGTTTACATACTTGTCGGCCAAATGCCTCCACCGAGTTGTTACTAATTTTGCGGGCATTCAGACAGTCAAACGCGTACGAGTGTTCGTCGCCGCCCAGTTCACAGGCAGCCGAAAACTGTATGTTAGCCCAACCGACACGTATGGCACCGGGCGACTGAACCTCGACCTCGAAATACCATTTACCACTGTTGACGGCATTAGTTTTTTCCGCTCTATAGCTACGAAAATCGGTAGTGGCCACCATTGCCCGAGCATTGGCCAACTTTTGATTGCCGCCGCCACCAGCGCCCGAATCAGTGGCCGCGTCAACAGTAGGCGCATCCAGATTATAGCTATAGGCTATCAATGTTTTCACTGTTTCCGATGCCGTATCCACATTAGCTTTCTTAATGATATCGTCGACCAACCGATAGGGTACCAAATGTGGACTCCGACGGGTCAGATGGTCTTCCACTCGACCATAGGTCCAGCCCTGGGATATGCGTTCAGCTGCCCAAACGTTATGGGTATTTTCGGCTAGCATATCGACTAGTGTGTCCATTTTCGGTACCAACTGTATCTGGGTTAAGTCTAACGGTGCCGGCTTATAGCCATTAGATTGTAGATAGGGATCGTTGGACAGTCGTATAGATTTGATACGTGTCGGCTGTTTGTCAACAGTTATACGATAGCCTATTAACAGCAAAAAAATTAGTTTATAGTATTATAATTGTTATAGTAGTTTATAGTAGCACCTGTATGTTTATTTAGTTAAAAAATATTATGAATTTTTTAATTATCTAAAATTACCTTGATTATAAATATTTTTTTTATATTCATTAAAAATTTTATTGTAATAATTTACAGTTTTATTTTACAAAAATTTATAATTTATAAAGATTATTTTTTTTAATAAAAAAAAACTTTAAATTATATTATATAAAAGTTAAACTATTCTAATAATAATAATTTAAATGATAAATTTTTTTTGAAAATATTTTATCTAATTTATCTAGATAAAAAATACTATTAGTAGATTAAAAATTGTACCAAACTTCACATCTAATATAAAATAAACTAAATTTTTTTTTTTAAAAATCAAATATTTCTAATAATTATTAAATTACAGTTTTTTTCTCCAATAATAATAGTAAACATTATGTTAACATTAAAGTGTTTATCGGTATATTAATTTTATTTTTTAAAATAAAAATGTCAAATAAAAATTTTATCAAAAAATTGTCAACTAAAAAATGCAATAAAAAAATGTTTACCCCCTCCCTATACCCCCAAATTTTTGCCATTTTACTTCCTCCTATACCCCCACCCCACCCCCCGAAATAGAAAACCTTTAGAGCAACCCTGAATAAAATTATCACCGTGATACTTATAGAATACCCCCACCCCCCCCAGCAAGTCACTCCCTCACCCACCCTCACACCCACCCCAGGGGTGGCATACATACCTAACGCCATAATAGTTTTCAATGTTTGCAGCGCAAGTGTGATGTCGTATTTTTTTTCGGAAACCGGTAACCTTTCGAACGATGTTAGACAGGGATGTCGTTTTTGTTGGTCATCCCTATTATCCGAAAACGACCAGCCCTGTACAATCTTATTCATGGCCCATATTTCGTGTATATTTTCGGCCAGCTTGTCCCGGACACTTTCGATATACGGTGCCAGTGCTATGTCTTTGGTGTCCACTGGTTTCGGTACGAATGCTACCTCATCGACGGCCTGACTGCACGGTCCGTACATAACACCTGTAGTTTGTTGTTGTTGTTGTTGTTGGGAATGGGAGTAAAAAAATTTTTTTTTATTAATATAAATGTAATTTAATTTTTTTTTTTTTTATGAGTCATTTTTGTTGTTATTATTATTATTTATTTATCTATTTTTAATACATACTTAACCCGTAAGTATTATTGTATTACTAATATATTAAATRTATTCAATAGTATTAAATAAAATACTTTATATTATTATTATTATTATTATTAKTAGTTTTTTTTTGTTGTTGAACAAACTGTAACTTTTTAATTACAAWTATATATACTAGACATTAAAGTGTCTAAAAATGCAAATAGTTATTAGGTGGACATAAAGATTGGATTAAAGTTAAAAATATTATATATTTTAAAAGTTAATTTTAATATTTGTATTTTATAAATTTTATCTAAAATTTATACTTTATAATTGAATGGTCAATTTTGAATTGATATAAATAAATGCTGCAAATATAATCCAAATATACTACTGTATATCATATACAGTATATTATAGGCTTATTAAAATAAAATTATTACATAAAAATAATTAATATTTTTAATTACTTACTTTAAACCAATCTTTATAAACTATCATTTTTTAGACACTTTAATATTTAGTATATATGTTTGTAATTAAAAGGTTACAGTTTGTTGAAGAAAAAAAAAACATAATAATAAATTATTATTAATATTATTAATAATAATATAAAGTGTTTTTATTTAATACTAAATAATATACAGTAATTTAATACAATAATAACTTACGGTTAAGTATGTGTTAAAAATAGATAAATAAATAATTAGTAGTAGTAGTAGTAGTAGTAAATAGAAAAATATGATATATATATATATAACTGACTACTTGATGGTTAGGTTAGTGTTAAGACAATATCATCATATATACGGGACATACCTTTGGCCAGTTCGCCAAATTGAAAGCACTGTTCGATAGTCATCTCCTGCATCGGCAACAATGTCTGTACAATCGGCGAATGGCCTTGCGGTGGACCGAACTTGAGTCGGCCGTGATCGCCGCCAAACAAAAAACGACACGAATATTTGGCCGACAAACTGACCACCGGATGAAACATGCCGTCGGTATTGAAATTTTTGAAACATCCCCGAATGGGTACACCGTTTACCGTAAACGTTATCAACGGTATGTTCAGATCGAGTATACAACCGATTACGTCGTTTTTGGCCAAATATGGCTGATCTTCGGCCACCGACCGGACATAGTTAGGTCGACCCGAATTCCAGATGTCGGCGCCGTCGAAGCCGAACGAATAGACATCGTCGCCGACACCATTGCCGCCCCATTTGCTGCCACCACTCGGATAGGGTACGTAACCTTTGGTGTTGGCCCAACCGACCCGAAAATGTGGCTCCAAATGGGTGACCAGTTCGATGTGATCGATAGTAACTTCGTAATACCAGCGCCTGAACATTGCCGAGTTGTCCACTTTGCCGATATAGATGTTCGGCCTCATTGACGACACCTGATCGATGAGTCGGGTCTGTAATAGTAGGTTACGGCTGGGCAACAGATTGTCGCATATGTTGTTCTGCGATGAACGCACCTGTAGTTTGTGTGTGTGTGTTTGAATGGGTGGGTGTGGGTGTGAATAGAAATTTTAAAACAATTTTTTTTTAAAAAATTATTATTAAATAGGAATTATTTAAATTTAAATAACAAAATATTTTTTAAAATCTACTAAATACACAATTTTTTTTTAAAAAAAATATTATATTTCAGTGTTGAATATTAATATTTATAGCTATTTTTCAAAATAATTAAAATTACTAAATAGTTATCTAATATTTATATTATTAATAAATATCATAATTATAGCATATACTGTATATCTATGAGATCTATTTTTAGCTGTAATTAAAGTCATAATCAGTTTACTTGAAAAAAATAAAATACTAAACAAAAAATATAATCCAAAAAAAAAAATAATTTATAAATATTTTTGTAATTACTGTTTAAAAATAATTATTTTTCTATAAAAAAAATTTATTGAAAAAATTGTCATTTATTATAATAATAACAATACTATTTATTATAATATATTATTTATATTATAATATTATTTTTGTTGACAATTAATTAAATTTATAGTCTGTTTGACAGAATAATCTCCTAAATTAAATAGAAATTTCATTTGTTATATATTAATACATAAAATAATTTTTAATATTAGTTACAGTCTAACAATATAACTATTTAGTATAATAAATATTTTTATTAGGTTTTATATGATAATTTTTAAAAATATTATTAATTATCGATTATTATTATCAATATTAATATAATAGACTAAATATCTACAATTTAAAAAAAAATATTATACTGTATTTATGTACATGTATATTATATTTCAGTGTTTAAGTATAAATACTTTACATTTTGTAAATATTAATATTTATAACTATTTTTCAAAAAATTAACAATTAACAAATAGTGATCTAATAATAATTATTATTAAATATCATAATTACAGCATAATTAAAGTATATCTATGAGATCTATGAGTAATGTAATATAATTTATATACCGGTACAATTTTTACTATTTTTTAATAAAAAACATTTTGTATAATCTTTTTTAAAAAAATATAAATTTTTCGTGTACAAATATTTCCTAAATTAAATAGAAATTTCATTTGTTATATATTAATTGAGAAAATAATTTTTTATATTAATTACAGTCTAACAATATAACTATTTAGTATAATAAAATATTTTTTTTTATTTCTATTAGGTTTTATATCATAATTTTTTTAAAAAAAATTATTAACTATAGATTATTATTATTATCAATATAATAGTAATTATCTTATATTGTATTTTTAAAAAATAAATAATATTTATTTTAAAAAAAACTTTTTAATTTTCTATATTTT